ACTCTGCAATGCCTACAGACGTAAGCAAAAAGGCCTGAATCAAATCAATAAACTGCGTTTGATTCTTGCAAAGTAAATGTAAACACCTTTAAGGTTGTTCACCTCTTTCATATTTACTGAAAACATATTTTATTTCTTATCAAATCAATTTGACATTTTTAATGAAATTTTATTTTCAACTTTCTTCCGCTAAGGCCTAAAAAATAAATCTATTGAATTTATATTTCTATTATAAGGATATTATAATTGGATGTAAGACCTTGAATTATCTTAATAGTCATTTCGTTAATTGTAAACAGATTATTTTGGTAATTCTTAATGTACTTCTTTTCAGAAATCAATTTCCGCTTATAAAATTTTCTTGCATTTGTTTTTTGTTCTTCATACGTTTATCAGGGGCAAAAATATTAATAAATAAGCTCCCCCCCCCACGAAGCAGTATGAATACCCCTGTTATTCCTATATCTGAATTTTATGAAACCTTATATATTTTATATAATATTGAAACACATGATATCTCCGACCAGTTTGTTTCTCACGTTTCTTCAAAAATCTTTCTCAGGTCGGAAAGGAGAAGAAAAAAAAAATTTCAAATTGGAGAAAAAATATCATTTGTGCATTTTATAGTGTGTTCTACAACTAATTGCTTCCAGGCTGAATTTTGCACTTTATTTCTATGATTTGCAATTTTTTGCACAGTTTGCCTACACTTGCAGTGCTAAATTGAAATGCAAAATCTACTTTTGCATGCAATAGTTTAGTTCCTAGGTTAAAAGATTCAAACTTATCAATTTTCAGCTTTTCTATTTAAATGAAAAAAATCAATCAAAAAAATATTGTAATTGCAAATGATTGTATAATTATCCTTATCTTTTTTTATTCCTTTCCTATTGACTATTGAGCAAGTATATTGAAAATAATGAGAGAATAAGAACCTCATGCATAAGTAGATCATTGACCCTCTCTCCTCTTCTCATTCTGTCCTTGAGAAACTATATTGATTTTTACATAAATTACCCCTCCCCCCCCCTGTCTCCCTCGAGCCCTTACTTTTAAGTTTACTAAAAGATGGAGTAGTAAAAAAGAGACGTAGTAGATTCCAGGCCGTTTTTCCGGCCTCGGAGAACTTTACTCTCTCCTTCTCCCCTATTTTGACCTAGTTTTCAGCTTTCACTTTCCGTCTCCCTCCCTTATCCCTCCCTCTCTCTATACCCTTCTTACTGCCTCCCAACCCTCACATAGCCTCTAGCAGACTCTAGAATATAAAGTAGATAAAACACAATAAACTTTATACAAGACTGCATTTATTAATGTACAATGTATACATTTATAGTACTCCCATATCATAGTTCTAAAGTGTACTGCATTTCCTTTTGTGTTAAATAATTGTTTTGCAACTCTCCAAGTATTGCAAATTGTTGTGCAATTCTCAAACTTTAATTGGAACATAAGAATTCCAGTTCCCTCTCCAACCTTCGAATGTCCTCAAATGATTAAGCAGGAATTTACCGTCAGATTTAGAAACTTTTCATCAGGGGTCGAGCAATATTTTCCTCACGAGTCTTCTCAGTTTCCTGCGTCTTTTTAGATTCTACATTTCTTTGCAGAAGTTCAAATTTCACTCTCATCATGGTTAACTAAAATATCTAGCCATTTTTTTTATATTTTTTAAACATTTACAAAGTTTTAAAAGCTCCCGGGTAATTATTTCAAGTTTTTACCGATTTTTGTAAGATCCCTTTGTGGTTGGAGACTGGAGAGGTGTCAAGGCTGTTTCATTCTTTGATTGAATTATACAACGGTCTATTTAAAACAAATTTGGGTTCCTCAGTATTTCTTAATTTTTCCAGACTTTCTGCAGAATTCTTCAGTATTTCTTTGCATGTCCGAGGATTTTTGCGGGGTTCCTCAGTATTTCTTGATTAATTCTTCATGATTCCTCAGTATTTCTTAAACTTCTCACGGGTTCTTTAGGGTTCTTCAGTATTTCTTGAATTTTCTAGAATTTCTGCAAGGTTCTAATGGTATTTTTTATGTCCTGGAATTTCTGCAGGGTTCCATAGCATTTTTGCAGGGTTCCTCAGTATTTCTTAAATTCAAGGATTTATGCTATGCAGGCTTTCACAGTATTGTTTTTATATTTTATAAAACTTACACTTAAATTTTGCATTATTTATACATTTCGGATTTGTTTAAGTTTCCCTGGGAAGAAATATAATCCCTGGAGGAAACATGACAAAGCTAGTTTACTGTTTAGCAGAGTTAGAATTTAGAGGAATGTGTTGAAATGAGTTCTAGGTCTGTTTTGTATTATTCTTTTTTAAATTTAAGTTGCCAGGATTGTCCTGCTCTGTTGTGAGACGCAATATTAATAAATAAATCTGTAATGAAATTACTAGAATAATAATATTTCCTGGTGGATATATTCCCTTGGCATCTGGTAGCCATCTTTCTACTAGAATATTGGACCCAGCTACCACATTTATAAAATAAAATAGTTTTAAACTGCTTTTGACATCTTTTCTTGGCTATTGTTTTATTTGCAAAAAGACGTCAACGCAATTTAAAGTGAACTCAAGAAGCTGAAATAATTTAAGAATCCGCTGACGAGAAGGAAAATGGCTGACATTTTCCGAATCAGTTGAAAAGGTTACAAAGTTTTGATCTCTTTAAATATCATTATTATGTTGACAATATATTCCCTGTACAAATTTTCATTTTGTTGAATGAAAGGATAAACCTGTAGAAATTTTACACCTGTCCTTACGATTAATAAAAGAAATAGTAAATATAGGAATATAATTGATACAGTGCATTGATCCCTATAGAAGGTCAGGCTACTGAATATGTGCATTAATGCAGTTGGGTTTAAATATTATATTTGTAAAGCCGGAGAAACAAATTTCAAAACACCTTTCACGGACGTGAACTAGCTAAACTTGTTTATCTTTTATCAGAGAAGGAGGAGGAGGGGAGGGGGAGCTCTACTAGGATTTATCTAGCAGAACTGAGAGTTTTATATTAAAATATTTGTTTGTTACTCCTGACCCCAATATAAAGATGGATATATATCTTGCATTGGTACATATTTAGTTCGTGGATACTGTTTATGTTTCTTCTGGGAAGAATACCGTTATCTTAAAAAAGTTACAAAACATTTTTATTCGTTAGGCCAATAGAGCTATAAAGTTCTCTCGTACTAAGAATTTTCTTAGAGTTATTTTTCACATATGTTGTGTAATGTGAATGTGTTTGACAACTAATGAGGGATTGTGAGAAATATAGAGTGGTAGGAACATCAGGGATGAGAAGAATAAAACAGAGTAGAAACTAGGAGAAGAAATCAGATTAGGAACTAGGAAAAGAAAATATAGTAGGAACTAGGAGAAGAGAACATAGTATGAACTATAAGAAGAGAAGAGAGTAGGAACTAGGAGAAGAGAACAGTTTAGGAACTTATAGGAGAATATAAAAGAGTAGGAACTAGGAGAAGAGTAGAGAGGAGGAACTAAGAGAAGAGAACAGTTTAGAAACTAGGAGAAGATAAAAGAGTAGGAACGTGGAGAAGAGAACAGAGTAGGAACTAAGAGAAGAGAACAGAGTAGGAACTAGGAGAAGAGAACAGAGTAGAAACTAGGAGAAGAGATCAAGTAGGAACTAGGAGAAGAGAACAGAGTAGGAACTAGGAGAAGAGAACAGAGTAGGAACTAGGAGAAGAGAACAGAGTAGGAACTAGGAGAAGAGAACAGAGTAGGAACTAGGAGAAGAGAACAGAGTAGGAACTAGGAGAAAAGAACAGAGTAGGAACTAGGAGAAGAGAACAGAGTAGGAACTAGGAGAAAAGAACAGAGTAGGAACTAGGAGAAGAGAACAGAGTAGGAACTAGGAGAAGAGAACAGAGTAGGAACTAGGAGAAGAGAACAGAGTAGGAACTAAAAGTATGAATGAGTAATCTGCTTGACGGGGCATTGAACTTCTTAAAATTAATTTCAAGTTTTTCTGAGAATATTCTTGAAATGTTTAGAATTCTGCAATATCTATTTACGGATCTATCTATCTATGGATCTATTTATCTAAGGATCTATCTATTTACGGATCTAACTATCTATGGATCTATTTATCTAAGGATCTATCTATTTACGGATCTATCTATCTATGGATCTATATATCTAAGGATCTATCTATTAAGGAATCTATCTATTACTAGTTTTCTTATCTGTCCATTTGTCTGCAAGGCGTCAGTTTAGTTCGTTACGGAAACTTTCTTAATTATCTTCTTCTTGAATATTTATTTATCAGAATCTCGAAAATCATGCTGATTAATAAATATCAATGGATTGACGTCACAATCCTCGTAAATTCATTTTCTCTTTTTTCTATTCATTCTTTGCTGGAAATCGGAGGTCATATTCCATACTATCTACTCTTTATATAAATAAATATTATTGGTTTGGTTTTTTGTTTGTTTGTCTTTTTTGTATCCGATAAATCGCATGACCCAAAGAAAGGTTTATGGCCTGTAAAAAAAATAAAAAAATTGCCAACAAGTTGGAAAATCCAATATCATCCACAGAATAATTCCCAAAGTTTTATTTTTTATTTTAGCCTTTAAATTAAAATAATTAAGAGCTAAAATAATAAACAAATTAGAGCGGCGCCAAGTGCCATGCATTGTATATAATCAGCAGTAGAGAATACAGATTAATTTTCTGTTAGTCTTGACGTCATCATACATAAAAGAGAGTTAATGTAAATACGTCAGATCTGTAAATCTTTAAGAGATAAAATTTAGAATTGTTCCAACCCTGTCAAGGTCTATTTGTGCACGTAACGTCGAGGAATGCGCGTAAGAAAAAGAATCACGTCTCTCGTGCACACAGTGATCACTTCCGCGTATTCAGACTCGGAATAAATACGCAATTTAACGTTTTGTTACGCTTGTATGAAGTTATTGTACGGTATATACTTTGAATAAACATTTAAATTCTTATCTTTTTCAGATTGGAGAACCACTGACTGTAAGAACGGATGAAATTCGTCTGCTGGAAAGTCGAAAATCAAATCGTCTAATGGTTCGTCAAACTTCCGTCCAGGATTTTTCAAAACTTGCGGATTACAATTTCGTCCATGACAGACGAAGGGGGACTGAACGTCGCAGACTGAACAGTGAAATTTCTTCAAATTCCGACAGCTCAGAAGTTTTTGGGTAAGTTTTTCATGCATATTGTTTATTTAGTTTTATTTTAAAATTATTTAGAATTAGTTTTTAAAACCGATTTTAAAAAGATCAGCTATAAAAGTAACCCCTCAGAGTGTAGTCTGTAATGTATAGATTTAAGGGTCGTTCCTCCTATAATGTACCAGTCATAAAAACTGCAGGAACGAGCCTTAAATCTGTTTTAAACCCCCAATACGCAATACTTAATCTTACCAGATTAAAATCTAGATTTGTACCTAATTAAATTTAACAACAGCGTAGTGTGTAATATTCTTTCTCCAGTTCCATTTAGGTTCGGTTTAAAGATAAGCAAAACTATAATACATGAGAGGGTGACCTAGAAAAAAAACTGCCAGCATAGGACCTATTAATACCCGGTGCGCTATATATCATTTTGAAATGGGGTGTACAAAAACATCTTCTAATTTTATTTGGTGTTGATTAGAAAGAATCTATTATTTGTTGCTGGTCTATTATTCGGGGACACCCTGTGGTTAGAAAAGGCCGCCAATGATAATAATCCTGTTGATAAAGGGTTCTATATCTCCATCCCTAACCCATATTTCTGATCTTCTAATCAAATATTTGGCAACTTAGATCTCCCCGTCCCGCAGCTTTATATCAATGGTTCCTGTCGTTTTAATTAATCACCCCAACCACAAACCCTATAATTTTTAAACATTGGAGATCGTTGATATCGTTTAATTGTTAATATCGTTAGATTGTTTAGATCTTTGGGTCGTTCCCCAAATACATATTTCAAAAGAGCTGATTAATTGCCTCAAACTCAAATTCTCAGATCTCTTTATCTTTGTAACTTGTTTATATAAACCTTTATTTCAAGCTATTTTATCTAGCAAAATTAAAATTTGAAATATCTAAGGTCTTGAGGTTTCAAAGATCTAAATCAACCCCAAAACTTATCCCACTCTAACCGATAATAATCTAAACTCTGTAAGAAATAAGTTACTAAGTTAGTCGCCCTTGAGAACGGACTGAACAGAAAACCAATAGATTTCTTCTCTCTCCTTCTTATTTGAAAAATATCAATCCAATGTCCTGTAGAATTTAAGAGTTCCTGTTTGGAAAATAAGTTATACAGACTCATATGTGTCAGGTTACAGGATACAGTTTATACAGAACCTAGAGCTCTAATTATACAAGGTTCAACAAGCCGATATATCTTTTATCAACCTTCCTCATCGTTCTTATCAAATTGCAAATCCTCCCCCTTCCTGCAATACACAACTCCCCCCCCTCTCCCTTGAACTAGAAACCCTCCCTTCTCCCCCAGCTATACCCCCCC